GAGCCGGACCCTGGATACTACCGTGATTTATTCCCGTACTTTGGAGTTTTACCTGTAACAGATATGTGTGGGTAAGTGTGTCTAGATGGAAATTGTCCTGACGATTTGTTATGGGTGATTTACCTGGGGACTAGGAAGGTGCTTGTGTGAGTCTTTTACAGGGTCATGGGGAATTTGCATGTGGGTGTGGGAAACAGCTGTCATGGGTCATTTAACTCCAGGTGGATTTCAATGGCTGTTTTCATCATTGAATAGGTGAAAAGGTATTCCCAAGTGTTTCAGTAAATAGGTGAAAAGGTATTCCCAAGTGTTGTTTTTTTTCTACCTCCACCTCTGTTGATCCTGAGAATGTTTGCTGCAAACACGACAATGAAATATTTTGTCACTTAAAAATTCATTCATGCAGATATATGATGAGTCAGAATGAATGTGTACGTTGGTGTACAATAGAGGGAGGTATTTGTATATGAAGGTGTGCATGTGTGTCCTATGATGTACATCAAACAGAAAGTAGGATATTTCTTTCACTCGATAGATCTTGTCGCCCTGAAGTCCTGGGTTTGTATGTCATCTACTGCCTAGGACATTGTGGGATACCTTTCATTGTCAAAATGAATGACATTGACCAAACTATATGATAAAAAATGTATTTAAAAAAGGCAGAACAAATACACTATAAGATTTGCATCCAAATGTTTTAGATACGTTAGGTGAGGGCATGATATGTTTTTTATATATATTTTTTAACAAACTGTTTGGTGTCTGTGTACATTAATTGATGACGGATGTGAATCTGGAAGGACTACGTAAATGGTGTGTTTCAAAGGACATAAACATATATATTTTCCTTGTCTTGGTTGTCGGGGACAATAATGTGTGGTGGGGTGTTTGGTAGTGAGACAGACAGGGATGATTATGTAATAATGTATTTATTATGGCTGGAGGAAATTCATTGCAAAGTGAGTGAGTGAGTGAGTGGGTGAGTGAGTGAGAGAGTGAGACCAGAAATGATGTCACACATTGTACCGATGTTGGGAATATATTTCGACTTTTGGTGTGGGGAGCAAACAGTTTATCCACTAGGCTACCCCACCACGCCTTAAGTAAGGATGGCTCTCATTGGTTTGATGATCTGTCCATAGAAGACCTCCTGATTGGTTAAAACAGGGCACTATATTTAAATGTTTCTCAAGCTGATTTGGATTTGAAGCTTATTATTGTTAATGTAATGAACTGTACAGACTAGAGATAAGCAACATACAGACTGCAGGTGAAACCTGATAGCAGACGAACATTGTCAGATTCTTATCCAGCTGAATGGATAAATGGTAGGAGGTCAAAGGTCACAAAACCTGCAAACCTTGTTGATCGCAAACATGAAGGAGTTCTGTGGTCAAATTTCTTTGGCAAAGGCTCTTGAACTTCAGTAACATAACATCACTACATGAAGTGTTCTTTTTGATCAAAAGAGACTTAATACCCTCAGTTATGTTATTATTTAACTAGCAATTGTTTTACAATTAATCATTGGTAAATTTGAATAAGGACAAATAGGTTACATTTGTTTATAAAATAGTTTCCTTTTTAAGACAATTTTTTTACTTACAGTAAATTAAATCAAAAGCACTAACAAAGAAGGCTTAACACAAACAGAAGTACCGTCATGTATATAGCGTGAACGCAAAAATGTCAAACTTTTGTAATTCTATATCTTCTGGTTTTTTTAGTATATATATTTTTTGCCATGCCCAAGAAAACTAGGGCAGCCAGTGAAACCTGATGTGCCTCGGAGATGGTTATTACATCCAAACGCCTACACAAAACATGTTCATTCACTATGTCGACAGAATCCCACACAAGGCCAATTCTTGTAAGGTCCTCCAAAGCAGGCATTCATTGAAGAAATGCAGCAGTGATAAAAATCATGCTCAGTGATTGGTTGAAATTTCTGTCAATGGAAATATGCTATCTGAGGAATGAAAGGTTAACATTTAAACCTTTGAGTTTTGACATTTGTGTACGTTGATTGTTATGAAGCAGTGAGGGAGATAAGACGACTTTTATTGAGAATTATTTTTACCTTTTGCATTCCAGGGTTTCATTCAGATTGCAATTTGTAACCAGAAAAAGTCATATATATTGGATGTAAAGTGGGGTGGAGTTTTAGTGGTAAATGAATGAGATGGTAACAAATCAGGAAATATTTTAAACAGAAAATGATAGAAATGTAAATGAAGTGTTTATCGGTATTGAAAAAGATTTGAGACACCTAGTTGTGTATTTTATTTTGTTTGTTTTTTGCCTAAAGCTGCTCTCAGCAACATTGAACATATTTGACAGCAACCTGTAAATGATCGAGCCTGGACCATACAATCCAGTGATCGTTATTGTGTGCAATAATCCATGCAGTACCATGATGTGCTATCAACCAAGTCAGGGGGCACGGGTGGCCCAGTTGTCTAAGGCGCCACGATTCGCTGTGCGGAGTTGCGTCCCTTGGGCACGCCAGAAACCTATGATTGTGGGTTCGAATCCCGGTACGCCCCGATTATGTTTTTAGGGTTGTCAGCACCATACCTGTGCTCGTGGGTTTCACCGAAGTGGTAAACGTCTGAGACCTGCATCACTTTGGGCTTTCCTCCCACATTAAGCTGACACGCCGTGATATAACTGGAATACTGTTAAAAAAACGGCGTTAAACCCAACTCACTCACTCACTCAACCAAGTCACCGACTACCCAATCCATTTGGTCACCTCTTACAGCCAGCACAGGTTGCTGGGAACCTATTCTAACACAGAATCCCCACAATGTGAGACCCCCAGTTATAGATTGTATGAGCTGCCAAACACAATGGCACCCAGGATACAGGTACCTCCGAAATCTACAAGAGATGGAGAGACAAAGGGCCGAAACTGGGTTGCGGGTTAAGTAAGGGTTACTCTTGCATCTCTGGGGTCAAGGAGTGATGTTAAGTTCTGTGGAAGGTTAATGAACATAATTATACAGGATCATAAGACGATGTGGGGTTTGTGACAGTTTTACATGTTTTTGTACGTTACATATGTTTAAAGATCACAGGGGCGACAAGTCAGGGTTTCCATTTGTGGGATTTCTAATGGTGCTGGGGCTTTTGTGGTAAAGGCTTTTGAGGTTTGCAAGAGGACCTGGATGCTATTTAATGTTAGTAGGATCAACTGATGGTTGCATGGTGTTATTATGGAGATATTGATCATTCAGTTTTACACATGGGTATTTAGGGTTGTCTGAATGTATTAGTGATCACAAAGGATGCGGGGGGATCCAGCTGCTTGGACCTAGGTCATTATGAGTAATACAAGGATATATATTGTGTTACTTAACAAGGAACATTCAGACGAGTCTCAAGAGAGAGGGTTGTGAGTTTTAGATGTTGTTTTTCACTGCAAAACAATGCAATTCTGCAATTGTTTGTAATATTTTGTATCCATATCAATGGAAACTGCTCTATTGAATGATTAAATCTATTATTTTTATACATATATTCATTTTGGATTTTTATCCAAAGCAATGATTCTCCAATCAGATGAATTCCGAGTGCTAGTCTCTATATATTTCCATTACCAAGTATATATGGTGTAATTTGGATAGATGTGGAAGTTATAATTAAGAAGTAGAATCCAAATGAATTCAGAAATAAAATAACAGTAGGCTCCTGAATGGATGAAAGAGTGAATAAATGGACAAATAATAGCCAATGAATATAAGGGAAGGAAGAAAGGAATTCTACGATTGTTCCATGTCTTTACACATTCACGGTATGAATGAAAGAGATGCTGCTATAATAATATAGATATAATTCATCGAATGGCTGCTTTTCCACGCGGGTTAGAGTGCATACCTGATTGCGGCCATGTGCTGTAGCTCATTACTGAAGTCAGTGCTTCAGATGCTGAGGAAATTGTGGCTTCATATGTAGTGAAAAGGAGTATTTCCGTCCTCCACAGTAACATACACCTGTGTGGGCCTCGCATCTATTGTGACGAAGATAACCAACACAGCTTTGCCTATACACTGCCTACGACATTGATCCCCCATCAGAACTCAGGCTAACTACTGGGGGAGGGGACTATCTCTCGTAGCCGCCATTCACCTGATTTTACCATTTTTATAAAACAAATGATGCTGGGGATGATATCATTGATTAGTCCATGATTCAAATGTCAACAACGTGTTAAAGTTACAATTACAACCCCAACTGGAAGCAATATGTTGAAATGCCTGTGGTTGGTAGTGTTAGGAGCGGAGGCGAAGGGAGTCATGTATCCTGCTTGCGGACTGCGAGATGAGGGTGGGAGACAGATTCTGTGAGTGGGAGGCCGTATTGTGACGAGCATGCAGGGAAACATCTGGTCGGCAAGGCTCTCTCCATTCATGTCAGTGTGTCCATGAATTGGGACGGGTCTTTGTAGATGTGTCAGTGCCGTTTTACTATTGGCTCAGTAAGTATTGTAGTAGCCTCAAACCTGGGTTTAAATTTTGCTGATGTACCAAATCCTATGTTGTTGTTCCTTGTAGTCAGGTTTGGTGTGTTTAGAGGGATTAATGTCATTGCTTAGTAACTATGTTATGCTTGTATCGTCATGGCAATATGTATGGAGATGAAAGTGACATATTTATCCTCCATGCTGGCATATGGGACCGAGTATGCTATTTTTAACCATATTGATAAATTTTGATAATTCCTATAATATATATTAGCATTTATTTAAGAACAAGACTGATAATGATTTGCAGAGAATTCGAAATTTATACACATATGTTACAAAAAGAATTATGAAATTTTGTAGTTTGTATATATATTTAAATGTGTTCAGTAAATATTCACATATTAAATGTGAATTTTATGCTCTTCACGTACACCTATTATTGATCGTTTTCACGTCAGATCTTATTCTTAATTAATGTAATAAAATATGTCATGTTAATGATTGAAAGTTATTTAGTTTTTGTTAATTTCAGGTTAAGTTGGCACGTATATGAAGATGCCTCTGCCCTCTGAGCTGTATTGAGGTGAGTTGTCTATTTCATATCCTACTGGTACCCCAGACAATGCTCAACACATTATCATGGATGTAAAAAACTGAATACCACACTTAAACTTTCCATATATTTGATGGAGGATTATCCGATAATGACAAGGTAATCTATATAGGGAGCGTGTGTTTCCTGTGCCAACACTATTTTGATTGTTCAGTATACCTTCAGTTTGATTTGTGTCTATTGTGTACAACGGGTACTTGTCTCTCACCAACTGGGGGCACGGGTGGCCCAGTCGTCTAAGGCGCCGCGATTCGCTGTGCAGAGTTGCGTCCCTTGGGCACGCCAGAAACCTATGTTTGTGGGTTCGAATCCCGGTTTGCCCCGACTATGTTTCTAGGTTTGTCAGCACCATACCTGTGCTCGTGGGTTTCACCCAAGTGGTAAATGTCAAAGACCTGCATCACTTTGGGCTTTCCTCCCACATTAAGCTGACACGCCGTGATATAACTGGAATACTGTTAAAAAAACGGCGTTAAACCCAACTCACTCACTCACTCACTCTCACCAACTGTTGGTTAGGAAACTTTTACTCAAAACATACATTTAGATTATATTCAAAGAAAATGGTATGGGTTTGGGTTTGTTTTAAGAGATGCCATTGTGGTGTTTTCTGTAAGTTACTTCAATATTGACAAAATTAGAATATGGAACTTTTAGTATGATATTTGTTGCTCCGGTCTGTTAATTTACTTTTCAACAGAATTATGTGAAGCAATGAAAACGAGTCAATCAATATTTTGTTTAGTCAGCAATATGTCAATATTAGATCACATTCTGTGATAGGAAAGTAGCGATATAATCCAAATTATCATGATTATTAATAGTTATGTATATACTTACACAATAATATTTAATAATAAAAATAACATATTTATAAAAAATATATGTGTTTAACATTTAATAGGTAGCTTATATGAAGTAATTGATTTATGAAAATTGCCTGATGAACAGTATGATAACTTAATCGTGGTGTATGGCAGTGGTAACTCAATTATGTTTCACAGAGCAAATCCATTTAGCCAGGATGCCCCAAATTCTGATGAGAATACCCCTCGGTGTTGTGGGATCAAGGGTCTATCTTGCAAGTATGTTATTCATACATAATACCAGATAATGTTATAAACTTTAAACAAATCAAGAATAGGCTAGATTTGTTTAGATCCTGTCGGCCATGTTGCTTCATCTGGAAACCTCAAGATCCATCGTCTGCTTCTGCTTTTTAAACATGTTCCATACACCCCTCTTTTTACACATGCCTTGCACCACATGCAGCCAGTACAAGACAGTTGGGTAATAGTTTCAGTGTATGGTGCATACCCACCAGTGAAAATCCTGCATCAGTTAGATGTTTTTTATACCTGGTGGTTTCTGATAATTGATATCGTTGGGAGTCTGTGGTCTAATTATCAACAAGTATTTGGTTTTGTGGGAATGAAACTTCCAAACAGGAAATGCCAAGCGTTGTTGCAGTGCTTCTGTGAGAAAGGCTGGGAAATTGGGGGATAAGAATCAGGGGGAGGGAGACATGGGGGTGGGGCTTGGGAGGGGGGGACAGGGGACCCCCTGACTGGGTCTACCTCATAGCCGCCAGACATGAACCGTCTGTGTTGTCTCACTATCACTTGCTTCATTCATGGCTGGGGAATTGTGGGATAGGATGTTCATTGATAAGTTGGACACCAATGCCAGGCGGCCATTTGTATTTTGTAAGCCCCTGGGAGGGGAATCCTATCCACACCCCCACACTCCCAAATGGAGTTCCCTGCCATGCTGAGAAAATATCTGATATCAGGGTCCTCAGTTACAACAAACAACACTTTCCTCGCACAACACTTTCATGGGCACAACACCTCAGCAGACTGGAAACTCGTCAGCCTTTGGTTCACCAGTGATTTGGTAACATTGTCGTGCCATGGTGACATGTGGTATTGAGTGGGTGATGGACTTGAGTGACGTGGCTTGGGGTAGGGTGAGGTGGCATCGATTGGCGTCAGTGAGTGTGCTTTCAGCAATATTTCAGCAATATCGTTACCGAGCATGAGTAGGCTTGTAAGTTAATTGTACCAATGTGGAGATCCCAACTCAAGCCTTCCCATTGTTTGCATACCTCAAACATTTACAGATTGATGTACATTATTTTAAAAAATAATATAAAAAAACATTCTAAGATTTGATTTGAGTTAATTAATTCAGTGGGTATTTGAAATAAAATTATGGGAAATGATGGTGCTGTGCTTTGATTGGTGTTGCTTGATTTCACATTTGTGACAAAGTTGTGAAAATTGAAAGAGAATTAATCTGAAAGCTGGAATAATAAGACCTTTCAAAAGTACATCTTTTACCACAGAATATCTCGTTGATACCAGTACAGATATTCCTGGTTGAATACATCTTTGCGACAGTTGTACTTACTGACGGAGACTGATCAACAAGCGATGCAATTCTCGGGAAACACAAAGCTGATCTCCCACTGTGGACACCCACATATGATGGACACCCAAATATAATGGACACCCACATATGATGGAGACCCAAATGTGATGGACACCCACATATGATGGAGACCTACATATTATGGACACCCACATATGATGGACACCCATATATGATGGACACCCACATATGATGGACACCCACATATGATGGACACCCACATATGATGGACACCCACATATGATGGAGACCTACATATGATGGACACCCACATATGATGGAGACCTACATATGATGGACACCCACATATGATGGACACCCAAATATGATGGAGACCTACATATGATGGACACGTACACAAGATGGACACCCACATATGATGGACACCCAAATATAATGGACACCCACATATGATGGAGACCCAAATGTGATGGACACCCACATATGATGGAGACCTACATATTATGGACACCCACATATGATGGACACCCATATATGATGGACACCCACATATGATGGACACCCACATATGATGGACACCCACATATGATGGACACCCACATATGATGGAGACCTACATATGATGGACACCCACATATGATGGAGACCTACATATGATGGACACCCACATATGATGGACACCCACATATGATGGAGACCTACATATGATGGACACCCACATATGATGGACACCCAAATATGATGGACACCCACATATGATGGACACCCACATATGATTGAGACCTACATATGATGGACACCCATATATGATGGACACCCACATATGATGGACACCCACATATGATGGAGACCTACATATGATGGACACCCACATATGATGGAGACCTACATATGATGGACACCCACATATGATGGAGACCTACATATGATGGACACCCACATATGATGGACACCCAAATATGATGGAGACCTACATATGATGGACACGTACACAAGATGGACACCCACATATGATGGACACCCACATATGATGGACACCCACATATGATGGACATCTACTCAAGATTGACACCTATACCGATGGGGACCTACATATGATGGACACCTACACAAGATTGACACCTATACTGATGGGGACCTACATATGATGGACACCTACACAAGATGGACACCTACATATGATGGTCGCCCACACATGATGGACACCTACACAAGATTGACACCTATACCGATGGGGACCTACATATGATGGACACCTACACAAGATGGACACCTACATATGATGGTCGCCAACACATGATGGACACCTACACAAGATTGACACCTATACCGATGGGGACCTACATATGATGGACATCTACACAAAATGGACACCTACATGTGAGGAAAGCCTACATATGATGGACACTGACACCAAGGGAGACTTGCTCCTGTTGGACACCAGCTTGAGATGGACACCTACATATGATGGACACTGACACCAAGGGAGACTTGCTCCTGTTGGACACCAGCTTGAGATTGACACCTACTGAAATGTGGCACTCACACCCAGCAAGCAGACGCCTACCCACTACAGCTTAAACACCTGTTGGGGGATTGTTTGTAAAGATATTTCATTCAATCCAATTTGGAAATGTGACACCAAGATGCCAACAGATTGACTTAGGGATGAGATATTCAATACTTTAATGCTGCAAAAAAATATATGGAGTAGGCCTACCTTGTGACCTTTTCCAAAGCTGTATGCCAGAGCAGAGGATGAGAAGACTGTTAGATGCATTTCCTGCCCAGACATGTCCGTCCAATATTAAAGACTGACACGCTGGCTATTTGTAATGACCCATTTCAAAAGATCAGGTGAATATTAAATTCAATGGAAAATAAATATTCATGAAACACTAAACCTTTAAAGACAGCGTCTAGTCTTGAGTAAAATGTACTTACTTTTGAGGTTAAGGAGAGGAGAAGAATTTCATTTACTTCATATTGATGTGTTAAGAGAAAACAATTCTCTTGATTTTGCTGTCCAATAGAATTATGTGATACAATGGCATAGATTTGTGTTTGTTTGATGAAATCCCATTTATGGCGTTTTCTGTACATTACTTCAATATCAACAAAATTAAAATTATGTAACTTTAATATATATAGTAATAATTGAATAAGTGGAGTAAGATTGAACACAGTTTTAATTGGCAAGCGCTTTCAACTCGTACCACGTTACGAGTCTCATCAGGCCATAACTGAATAATGGACATGAAGTAGTAACATATAGTTACGGGACGTCATAACATTTAGGAAACTATGACGTCACAATACCAAGGTGACAATGGACAAATAACTTACGCCTTTACATTTTAACTTAGGCGCTTATTTATGAATACAATGTTGCTCTTTTTGAAACATTGTAGGTTCATGATCAAAATTTAGCTTATATAGCGGGAAAACTAAATAGTTGCCGCTTTCACATGTATCTAAATGTTCACTGAGTGGACTCGTGCGGTTGTGTGGCGGCTTTATTTGTGAACCGTGAAGATTCATTCTTCTTTTTAATTTAAGTTCTGTCTTTCCGATAT